CACTACTTTACATTGTAGCAAAGTGTCATTTCTTCAGTGTTGTCACATGAAAAGATATAATAAAATATTGACAAAAATGTGAGGGGTGTACTGTACATACAGTACATAATTATTAATAGAAAAAAGTACTAAAATTCACCAAAGGTTTTTTTCCCATGTCCCAAAGGTTGTAGTATGTTTGTAGTTACAAGACTGACTTACTACAGGTGAAAGTTTGCCAATATCTTCCTTACTGTATGTACAGTACACAACTATTTTTATTTGCATGACCATACAGCAAATGAAAGTGAAACACAATCCAAAACATTCAGCTTTGAGAAAGCAGACTTATCCTCCTTGACCACCATAAGAGCTACTGGACTTAAAACTCACACTCATAAGGACAAGGATGTTGCAGCTACTTTGGAGACAACACCACTAAATGTACATGATGAAGTATGTAAAATTTCACAATATAATAAAATTATATTAGTCTGGAAATAGTATGCTACAATATTATAAAATAATTCATGTAAAATCACAGCTTGTCTTGACTTTGTTATTACAGCCAGAACAACTGTAGGAAAAGAAGGAATGTGAAGTGGATGTAGCTGTCCAAAAAACGGCAGACAACATGACTTGGATGTCTCTGAGACAGAGCAACTTCATTACATTGAAGCCTCACAATCTATTGAATGGAGAGGTTAGTACAACTTTTCTGTACTTGAATGATGAATGATTTTCAAATGAACAGAATTTCACTACTGGACCTACAAAAATCAAACTGTTTAATATTTTCCAGATAATGGAGTACTATATTCATGGCTCTATGAATAAAATGCAAGCACAAAGAAAATGTACATACTAAACCACTACATGATAGGGGTAATCCTGTTCAAAGGAAAACAGCAAATTACATGCCAAAGCTTGAGGAAAGTAAGTAAAATTCAACAGCCTAGAACATGACCCATACAATTTCTGTTTCAACAGATCATATTGAAGTAGAGACTCACAGGTCTAGCATAACACTAAAAAACCATTCTGAATGAATTGTTTAAATTTATTATGTTGTCCACTAGTGGGATTACGGTTAGCATTATGTTTGTTTAGGGTAAAGTGTTTGTAGTAATGATAAGACTACTCTGCACATTACATATGTTACTACAGCCTGTTAATCTGCAAATGTATAACAGCTTGTATTTTATTCACTGTAAATGTTTAAATTGCTTTACAGGAAAACTTTGAAAATTATGATGGTGCAGTGGGATTTGTAAATGTACATAGCAATCACTGGATGTTTGTGGTATGCAAAACCAGTTGTAAGTTAAAAATTTGAGTCATTCCATAGTTTTAGTACTGTTAATTCAATGCCAACAGTAATACTGTAGAGAACAGTGCCCATATTCACAAAACATCTTAAGGCTAAAAGTAGCACATAACTGACCGATTTAGGAGAAAATCTTAAAAATAATGGCAATTATTGATTTTATTGTCAGTCCTTTTAGTCTTTGGCGACTTCAACATTCATCTGGACAAGCCTTATGCTACAGACTTCCATTCACTCCTTGCTTCATTTGATCTCAAACGACTTACCACTACAAGCACGCACAAATCAGGCAACCAACTTGACTTAATTTACACACGCAATTGTATTGTCTGCTAAATGACTAAATGTAAATGTAAATGTAAATGTCCTAAATTTAGGACTCCTAAATTTTTGCTCTAAGAATATTTCATAAAGCGTTTTAGCTCTAAAAATAGCTCCTAAATCTGTGAAAGGTTAGGAGTAGTGAAGAGGACTCCCAAGTCACTAAGATCAAACCACAAACTATCCTAAAATGGATGTTGCTGGCAATCTGCCTCTGAATGTAAACATTTTAGAAACATTTGATGATAATGTCATTTTAAAAAGGTATCGCCTTTGGTTTTGGAGGTTATCCCTCTAAATTTTCCTTTGATTATATCCTTGTTTTCATTAACCAGTTGGGCAAGAAGTAACAGCTGTTCTTGCGTCCAGGTTTTTTATTTTTACGTTTGCATATATTACTATCAGCCATGATTATTGTAGAGGAGGCACGCTACAACTCTATATTACGCTGGTTGAGGTGGCCAAATATGGACAGGATTCCGGTAAGAGAATCAGGGATTGGAGAAGGGATTCTTCACAAAGATGCATTTATTGAAAACTCTTTGGGTTGTCATCTGCAGCAGTTACACTTTGGCAATGATATCCGTATTAATGGTCTAAAAGAACAATAAAGAAATATAATTACAACCATATTTTGAGAACCATTTAAACACTGACATGATAATCAAACATAGAGTATGAAATAAACACTGATTAGACACTCAAGTCTGCATCCTTAAAGGGGTGGTTGACTGTTTTTTTTATAGGCTTGATTGTGTTTATGGGGCGCAGTCTATAAGCCCCTCCCTCAGAAATACACGATGGGCTCTGATTGATACCCATCGTGTATTTCTGATTGATTAGCTGGCCCAGTGTGTTGTGATTGGCTAAACCACCTCTAGCGTGCGTCTAAACGTTCCGCCCCTCAACATAGCGGCATGTGCTCTGTTTGTATTGTAAACAATGACGTCGTCTATATTGATCTATATATCTATATCAATTTGAGCCCGATTGAGACGCAGAGGATATTATTGAAGAGGATCGTGCAGAACCTGTGCAAGCACACAGCTCTTTGTAGGCATTAAACTGCCAGAATTTTAAAAGATGATATCTCTGTTTGCATTGAACTTTCAGCTTCGTAACTTTGCAGATATTGTTTATGATCAAACAGCAACATTACACACTAACTAACATTAAAAAAGTGAAATCGCAATCACCCACCCCTTTAACATTAATAGCAGCCTAATCAATGCAAAAAGGCATGATATAGTAGTGCAATGATGCGTTATTAATGTAAACACACGTGTGACGCAGTATAATAATAGAGCTGATGCTAATACTGAATAACGCATTTCTCTCGCGGCGAATTACAGCCGCTACGGCGCTCAAAACTCGCCGATGGTAACCGCAGAACAATCGCGGGACACCAATAACATACATTAGATAAACATACATATGCAGATGTACTTACATCAAGGCATAAATGCATTATACAGAACATAAAACATCAGCGAAGGGAACACACACAGAGAGAGAGAGAGTTGCCATGGTTACGATGGCAGGTGGCAGCAGAAATATCAGCTCCTGATATCAACACCATTTTTGCCAGAGAATGTATTTTTTTAAGACCCAAATCTTAAATAGATAATTGGACACTTATTTGTGAACAATAGAGGCAGAAGATTACTAAGGTAAGACCTCTAAAAAGATTGTCATCAACTAAAAACTACATACAAACTCATTGTAACAAGCTAACTGTTAGCCAAGCTGACATTCCGTGACAGTTACTTAAATTAAGAGCAACATGGGCCTATCTAAGGCAGAGGCATTTTTCAAAAATGAAGAGGAGTTGGAGATAATATATCCAGCAGAAGTTAAATCTACAAAAGACAAGAAAAAGATGAAAGAGATTATGCTGAGAGAGAACCCAGAGATACTGCTGTCTGACTACAGTGGACCAGAAAACAACAGAGTCCTGTGTAACCTGCTCTTCTTTACTGAACACCCATCATCCCGGCACACCGTCCTCTGCTCCACCATGACATGTATGAGAAAAGGAAGCATCAGCAGAGGCAGACAACTTACTCTAGAAGGAGAGAATGACACAAAGTTGATTGTGAATCTTTATCATAATGGCACAGTCATGGTCCAGGGACCGGAATCCAGCCTCAATTAATTCCAGAGGAGCTTCAGAAACCTTAAACAGGAGGTTCAGAAGATTAAGAAAGATCCTGAAATGAAGAGCCACACAGTAGAAGTGCCCTGCACCACATCAGTGACCATCTCTGACACCAGCTCAAGATCTCCTCAAACACACAGACACACCAGCACTCCTGCGTCTCCTAAGATAAAGGCTTTGAGAGATAACATCGCTGAGCTGGAACAGGACTTCTTTCTGTTTAAAGAGGAAACTACCAACAATCTCCATCATCTGCTAAACCTGACCAGCCACCACATTGTGCAACAAATTCAACAGCTCTGCTCTGCTGTAAGACATCTGGAGGAGGGCAATCAAGAGCTGCGCCAGGAGCTGAGGAGGGTGAGAGAGGAAATGGCCAGAAGAGAACAACACGGCCACACACTGGAGAGACTGCTGGAGGAGACCAGAAACCAGCTACACAAAAAACACCACCAAGAGAATGTCAGCACTCAGTCACACAACACCCCGACTCCTGAACACACCACAAACACAACTCAACATCGGCAGTGTATCAGCTCACAGTCTCAGAGCTCCTTCACTCCTGCAACCCCTCACAACCTCAAGAGGAAAGAGAACAGCAGCAGTACACAGAGTCATCCACCTACTAGAACATCAGCACCATTCATGAGAACCAGCAGAGAACAGAAGAGCAAAGACAACATTGTAATACTCTGTGATTCTAACGGCCATCATCTTGACCCCAGACGACTGTTTCCGGGGAGATTGCCCTGCACCACATCAGTTACCACCTCTGACACCTGCTCAAGAACTCCTCAAACACACAGACACACCAGCACTCCTGCGTCTCCTAAGATAAAGGCTTTGAGAGATAACATCGCTGAGCTGGAGCAGGACTTCTTTCTGTTTAAAGAGGAAACTAGCAACAATCTCCATCATCTGCTAAACCTGACCAGCCACCACAGTGTGCAACAACTTCAACAGCTCTGCTCTGCTGTAAGACATCTGGAGGAGGAGAGCTGCAAGAGCTGCGCCAGGAGCTGAGGAGGGTGAGAGAGGAAATGGCCAGAAGAGAACAACACGGCCACACACTGGAGAGACTGCTGGAGGAGACCAGAAACCAGCTACACAAAAAACAACACCAAGAGAGTGTCAGCACCCAAACACACAACACCCCGACTCCTGAACACACCACAAACACAACTCAACATCAGCAGTGCATCAGCTCTCAGTCTCAGAGTTCCTTCACTCCTGCAACCTCTCACAACCTCAAGAGCAGCATTACACAGAGTCATCCACCTACAAGAACACCACCACCATTCATGAGCACCAGCAGAGAACAGAAGAGCAAAGACAACATTGTAATACTCTGTGATTCTAACGGCCATCATCTTGACCCCAGACGACTGTTTCCGGGGAGATCTGTGAAGAAGTTCTGGTGTCCCACCTCACACTCAGCTTTGAGGCTGCTGCGAGACGATGTGTTAAGCCTGGGATACACTGCACGATTTTTGGCTGTCCCAGACGAAAGATTGCCTTCATGAAGCAATCGTGGCGATTTCTGTGATCGTGGCTCTTAATCGGTGGTTCTATGTCGTACAGTGAAAGAGGTTCAAAGACGTGCGTTTTCCCGGTCTTGCGACCAAAGATAGCCTATGATAGTTTTCTGACAGTGTCAGAAATTCAGCATGATCAACACACAGTGTGTTTGCTGCAACGACCTGCGTCTACTCAGCAGCCAATGAAATTGCAACATGAAATTACGTATTGATCCACGCTACCAGCGGCGCTACAATTTCAATGCCATGGAGGCAAAAAAAAGTAGAAGGTATACTGGTATGTGGGATACCCATAAAGAACAAATTCTTGTTGAGTTGTGGCAGCAGAGGGCATGTTTGTACGATGTGTCCTCTAGCTGCTATAATGACCGCACCAAAAAAGACATAGCATGGAAGGAGATAGCGGAGGAACTGCAGCTGCCAAGCTCCCTGTGCAAAACTGGCATCCCAAGTTGTCCTCTTTTCCCGAGCCATGAGCGGGTCCATATTGCCCTCTTCCGCCGGCGCCTCTTCTTTGTTTCAGCGCACATGAAAAGCAAAACTGCCAAAGCGCGATCCATCTTGATGTACCGGTATCATCCCAAGTTGTCCTCTTTTCCCGAGCCATGAGCAGGTCCATATTGCCCTCTTCTGTCGGCGCCTCTTCTTTGTTTCAGCGGACATGAAAAGCACAACTGCCAAAGCGCGATCCATCTTGATGTACCGGTATTTGTTTACCACTAGCGCATGCTGATGACGTTGCGCTAACGTGTGTCGCAGCTGTCGCAGCCTACGATTCAATAGGTGTCATCATCGTACAGTCTACATGCTTGTCGTACCCAAGTTTAAACAATTCATGTCGCACAGTGTGATAAAGTAATGATCTTATAGGATTGCTAAAATGGCTGCTGCGAGACCGGGCTTTAGGTGCACCGTCACACATCATTCTTCACACTGGAACAAACGACCTCAGTGCTATAAAGATAGATGTCACTAAAGCCCTGACCAACGTGGTGAGAACAGCTAGCAGGATCTACCACAGAGCCAAAATCATCATCTCAACCCTTCTACCTCGCAGAGACGTGCCACAAAAGACCATCAACTCAATCAATGTGGAGATAGCTGGAATCTGTGCTTCAATGACGAATGTCCACATAGCCGACCATCAGCGCATCACCCATGAGCATCTATATGACCACATCCACATTCATCGAGAGGGTATGAGACTGTTTGCAAAGACCATCAAGGAGACAGCCCTGAGAACCCTTCAGAAGACTGTCTCTGATCACGAGGAGAGGGTAAGACAGCTTCCCGGCAGACAGTCAGACAGCTACGCCGCTGTAGCAGCAGGAAGAGCTAGAACAGACACCAGCGACCTTATCCAGATAAAAAACATGCTGAAAACTATATGTGACAACCTATTAGCTTAACTACTTACAGTGTGTCTGTAGTTAAAAATTATCATTTCTTAATTACTTTTATTTGACTTATATCTACTTGTTTACTTTCAAATTTGACAATTGTAAAACTGATTCACTCATGATATTTTAATGTATATCCTCTATACTTCCTTTTTTTAAAATTGATGAATTTATATTTTAAAACATTATTTAAACATGAATTCATACATTATTCTGGTAAATACAATACTTCTCAATGTCATCGTTTAAAATAACATGTTCTCTTCAGCTTTTGGAGAGAAAAGTACTAATCCTGATTTTGTTACCCAGGTGAAAAAGACGTAGTATTAAATGTATTAAAAATATACTTGAAACTCAAGTAGTATGTTTATAATACATTTGTATTCCCAACATGCTTATTTGAAGTGCAATAAAAATATATTGAATTGCATTTTAATATATTTCTAAAAAGTTAAAATAAAATTAGTCATTATAACATGTACAACATTAACATTCTTTTGTTTGCAAAATGAAGTTGTTTATTTATTTACTTATTTCTGATTTCCTGAACAATTTGGCTTAATTGTAATGAGGTTAATGATCTTTGAAAAACCATGATTATGAACATACAATCACTGTTGCCAACTAATTTTCAGGGGAAATTGCTAAAGGAAGGTCGATTTGTTGCTAAATGAAGTTGTGATGTCATTGCGTGATGACGCCATTACGTAATCACGACGCAAAATTGTGCCACTACATCAAATCTCAGTAAAAAATATATTTTTATATGTTAATTTAGATTTGTTTGTAAAATAATATAAATGCATAATATAATGTTAAAATATAAATAACTTTTTATATACAACACTGAATTATTGAACACTTACAAATTTCTGAAAGATTACACGTTTTTTTTTTTATTAGCTAGTAAACTAGTAAAACTACACATTGTGAACAATTAGTTTTAAGCAGTGTATTAGTAGTCAGTATGCTACACTCTAAGAAAATAATTCACAGGTTTTTACCGGTAAGACAGTCAGACAGCTACGCCGCTGTAGCAGCAGGAAGAGCTAGAACAGACACCAGCGACCTTATTCAGATCAAAAACATGCTCAAAACTATATGTGACAACCTATTAGCTTAACTACAAAAAATGATCATTATTTCTTAATGACTTTTATTTGACTTATATCTACTTGTTTACTTTCAAATTTGACAATTGTAAAACTGATTCACTCATGATAGTTTTATGTATATCCTCTATACTTCCTTTTTTTTTTAAATTTTTTATTGATGAATTTATATTTTAAAACATGATTTGGTCATGAATTCATACATTATTCTGGTAAATACAATACTTCCCAATGTCATCGTTTAAAATAACATGTTATAATATTCAAGGGATGTTCTCTTCAGCTTTTGGAGAGAAAAGTACTAATCCTGATTTTATTAACGCTGTATATAGTTCAGATATAATTATTTTACTTGAGACATGGAGTCGTTTAGACTCTAAAACCTACACCCCATCAAACTACAGAGAGCTGCGTATACCCTCAATCAAACAGCCTAATGTTAAAAACGGAAGAGATTCTGGAGGAATCATAGTTTGGTTCAAAGACCATCTGTGGCAGTATATTCAGCCCATGAAAAAGGGAAAAACACATATTTGGATAAAACTTAAAAAAGAGATTTTGTGTTTAGATGAGGACCTGTACCTGTGTGCCACATATATCCCCCCATATGAGTCGCCTTATTATAACGAAGACATCTTCTCAACCCTACAATCAGAGATCAATTACTTCCAGTATATAGGTTCAGTTCTATTAATGGGGGATCTGAATGCCAGAACAGGGAAGGAAGTGGACTACATCAGCTCAGATGGAGACAAATATATAAACAGTTCACTTATGCAGAGTTCACACTGCACGATTTTAGCCCGATCTTTCACTCGCCGACAGGTTTTGCGAAATCGCAGACAAATGCCCGAAATCAGAGGAAAATCGGTGCTCGTTCACGCGAGTGACAATCACGCAGTGTGAATAAGTTCTGACTGAAAAACACATCGGCGATGACCCACAGCCAATGAGAGAACAAGATACAGGGCAGCGGGAAGCTTGGGGAGGAGTTATATGAAACGTAGTTTGCGGACCAGCAATTGCCGCCGGTTGTTTTTAATGTCAGCAGGTTGAAGCAACCCCAATAATGTAATATTTAGGCCCTGGAATGTGAATTGTACCAGGAGAACCCTGCCAAAAAAATTTGTATTTTACCCCCCCGAACGCGATTTTTACTGGGGGACCCCCTCGAAAGCAATTGGGCTATTTTCAGGCTAGTTTTGAGTAGTAATTGGGCGGGTTTTGTAACGAAAACCTGGCAACCCTACCTTCCTATTGTGAAGTCATGCAATGTGAAACCCCGTCGCCAATCCATCGTGCAATGTGAACACAGCAGCAACTGAATGCTACCCCAGATAGTCACGCAGTGTGAAAACAACGGCGATCCGACGAGTTTGAAAATCGTGCAGTGTGAACTCGGCATAAATCATCAACAAAAACGTTTTGCCAAAACACGCCATAATTATGAAAACACAGTAAACAGACATGGAAAAGTCCTGCAGCTCTGCAAAAGCCTGGGCCTATACATAGTTAATGGCAGAATAAAGGGTGACTCCCTGGGTCGATTTACATACTGCTCACATCTAGGCAGCAGCAGAGTAGATTACGCCATCACAGATATAGACCAAAGTAAGATCCATTATTTCACAGTGATGCCACAGCTGCCATTATCAGACCACAGTCAGGGAATCATCTTCCCTCTTCAGAACAGAAAGTTAAATCATATCCGCTCCCCCCCCAAAATTTATATGGAGTAAAGACAGTCCTGCCCAGTATGAAGCTGCGCTCCACAGCACCCAAGTAGAGAACATGATAGACTAATTTCTCTTGACTACATTTAGTGAAGAGAAGTATCAATTTAGCAACTGAACAGTTAACTGAAATCTTTTCTACAGTGGTCAGAAAAGCCCTCAGAAAAAGAAAAAATTACAGATGTAAAAAAAGAAACGGCTAAAGATGCTTGGTTCGATAAAGAATGCCAAAAACTAAGAAAAGAATTACAATCATTATCAAATAAAAAACAGAGACCCAGCAAACCAACAAATACGAGCCACATATCAACAAACTTAAAATACACAAGTCACTATTAATACAGAAGAAAACTGATCACATAAAAATAAAAATAAACAAAATTGAGATTCAAATCGATCAAAATTCTTTTTGGGACTTATGGAACAATTTAGACAAATCCAAAGAGGCCAAACACCTTCCCATCTATGACCCAAACATCTGGGGCTGGTTGCATAAACATAGCCATTGGCTTAAGACTGTGTCTAAGAATTAGCCTGACCAACTAAAGTCAGTGGGGAAAGACTGTTGCATAAAATAATAAGTCCATGGTTGTCTTTAGTAAGACGGTCTAATTTGCACTGCATTGTGGGAAAAGTAAGACGCTGAACTGCTTAAACAAAATGGCCGACAGTGGGCGCTCGTCACAGTTTTCCTTTGCTGAAAACATTTGCATATTGGAGAAATACAATGCTGACAAATCGATTTTAATGAACAAATTTAGCAATTACAATACAAATAATAAAAAACACAAGGCTTGGGCCACAATAACGGATAAAGTTAATAGTGTAAATCCCTTGGTCCCACGAACCGCCAAAGATGTACAGAAATGGTTTAAAAACATGGTACAGGAAGCAAAAAAGGAAATATTAAATATTTTTGCTAATGTTTCTGTTGTTAAGTGTTCTGTAGCATAGAATGTGATTAATGTTTTTGGTTTTTTTTGCATCCTTTTAAGTACTATTCTGCTGTTTTGGATTGAGTACCATGTCTTTTTTTTAGTAGATTGCGAGGTAACGTTAACGTTGGTCACTGAAGAAGCGCCCGTGACAAACCAGGACCAAAAAACTTGTTTTACAAGTGAAGGTAAAACACATATTTACAACCTTAAAACAACGAGTTATAACTCACCAAGTTAACTTTCTGGTTAACTTGGTTTGAAATTAATCTGTAATACCATGGTGTAGCCACTAGATGCCTCTATAGCTCTCTACAGTATATTATACAAGGATGAGCATCCTGTAGTTTCTGAGAACAGTGTTGTCAAACACAATGAATTACTTACTGTTTTAGGTTTTGATTTTGTATTTATGTTTAGACATTATCAAAGACTACTTTTTGTCAACTTCTACTTTTTTATTGAAATGTTAATGTGACAGTCTTTGTATTATTACTGTTACAGTCAATCTTGAACCAAGCGAAAACATTTTGCTACCCATAATCTAGCCTTTTCAAATCATGTTTACAGTTTGTGTCTGTGTGTACACACAGTCAGTGCCACAAAGGTCACCATGTCTCCTACTATTCCCATAAAAAAAAAAAAAACAGAACGTCAATTTTTTTGCTCTAAAATTACTGAAACCTACAGGAGGCTAGTGGCAACAGCATTCTTGCAAAGAAATGTTTACAACAAAGAAATTGTTCCTGTCACTCATTAACATTGCTAATATTGTTTTTTTTTTTTTTTATTAAAGGAGATGATTTGGACAGCACCCAAGTGGCACCTGTGGGAAGTGGCTCAGACACGGAGTCACAGAAAGGCACTGCAAGCAAGATAACCATGAACCATACTGGCAAAACAATATGAAGTATTAACACTGGAGGAAGCAAAACTAAAATTAGAAATAGAAAAACTGGAATTAGAGAAAACTAAGCTAACATTGGAGCTACAGAAACTTGAACATGAACTGTAGATTTCATTGACTGATACCCAAGAATGAATCAATTAACTACTTAATAATAGTTAAATTAAAGCAATGTTTGTATACAAATATCTTTAAGTGTATTTAATAGATTTGACATGTATTTAAGTGAATATTAAGGTAGTTCTGTTTAAATAATTTTAAGATTATATTGAATTTCAGAAGTTACTACTGATCCTCTATATTAATTTTTTGTAAATATTGGTTTGATTCATAAATTAAAAATTCTTTCAGTTTTCTCAATCAAACAGAGAAAATGTTTTCTACAATCATTTGTCGGAATATAACGCCCAGATCCATCTTCATCTCCTGCCTCGGTGATCTCCAAAGCTGGTTCCTCAAGCACTTGGTCTTCCTCCAGGTCTGGGAGTGCAAGATCTCTATTATGTTCCATCAATGGCCCCTATTACATTAGGAATCCGGCATTGTTGAAAAAATCCATCTTTACCTTATTCAAGGTAGAGACATCAGTCGGATACAGTGGAAGTCTGCCTGACAGCACACAGGAATCTCTATGAATGATTCTTGATGCTGTAGACTTGTGTACCCCAATTACGTCTGCAGCTGCATTAATAAAACATCCTGTGGACAAAGAAGCGTAGCACTAGACATATTTGTAGCAGTGAAGGGATGTAACAATTTCTTGAAGTTTCGGGCCTCAGCTGCTCCTCCAAGTCAAATGCTAATTGTTGAATCGCATGTCTTGGAAATCAAAATTTTTCTAACAGTTCCTTTTCAGAAAGGACTTCCAGTGGATTTGAACGGTCTTTGAAAACCATTTCGCTTCTTATTGCACGTTCATAAAACCAAAGATTAAAATTTGCCATAGCACAAGACAAACAAAAGTCTGGCCACATTTCTGAATCTGGCACAGCTGACAGTTGGTTTCCATGGCAACATAGATTGTAAGGAAAAGTTAGCCATGGGGCAATCAGTCTTACTTTGTAGTCTTAAATTAGACCAATCTAAGATTTTATGCAACTGGCTTACAAAGTAAAGACCAGTCTTAAAGAAAAAAATTAGATGACTAACTTGTAAGACTAGTCTAAAACAGTTTTATGCAACCGGCCCCTGGACTGAACATTTCAGAAAACTCTATTCACTAAACGAAACAACCCTCGCCCAAAAACATCTGACCTCCCAACTAAATAACCTGGAATACACTATAAAAGACCAGCTAAATCATTTAGACAAGCCCATAGAATTAACTGAACTGACAGAGAAGATGAAATCCCTAAAAAATAAGAAATCAAGTGGCTTGGATGGAATATCTAATGAAATGCTGAAACACAGAAGCCCCAAACTGAGAGTTGCTATCCTGACATTATTCAATCTCTTATTAAAATCTGGACAATTTCCTGAGATCAGGAAAGAGAACGTGATAACCCCAATTTTTAAACAAGGTGAGAAGTACGACCCAAATAATTATAGAGGCATCACAGTGAGCAGTAACCTCGGAAAACTATTCTGCTCTATTATTAATGACAGATTAATTCAGTTCATCCAAGAACACAAGATTTTAAACAATTGTATGAATTCACTGAATTGTATTCAGTATGGCTCAATGGACTTTTTCTAAAACTAATTCAAAGCGGAATAGGAGGAAAGACATATGACATCATAAAGAACATATACAACGGGAACAAATGCTGTGTCAAGATCAACGACAGACAGTCTGATTATTTCAGTCAGACAAAAGGAGTGCGTCAAGGCTGCAGCCTCAGCCCGACTCTTTTTAATATCTATATTAACGAACTGGCATCAGCACTTGATAAGTCTTCTTGTCCTGGTCTGACCCGCGAGGGCAGAGAAATCAAATGCCTCCTGTATGCTGATGATCTTCTGCTCTTGTTACCTCATGAAGAAGGGCTACACGAAAGCCTGTCAATTATAGAAAATTACAGTAGAGACTGGGCCTTACCAATAAACATGGAGAAATACAAAATTATGATCTTCCAGAAAAAGCCTCGCCTTACTGACAAAAAATATAGTTTTACAATCGGGGGAACACTTCTTAATCATGTCACATGTTATAATTATTTGGGTCTCACTATCTCAGCTTCTGGTCAATTTGATCTGGCAATAAAACATCTGACCGACAAGGCACGCAGGGCTTATTACACTATAAGAAAATCTTTGTTCAAATTCAACCCACCGATTAAATTATGGCTAAAAATCTTTGACAGCATCATCAAACCCATTCTTCTATACGGTTGTGAAATCTGGGGCCCCAAATTTAAATTAAACTATACATCTTGGGATAGAAACCCCACTGAAATGTTCCACCTCGAGTTCTGCAAGAACATCCTGGGACTCCACAGAAACACCCCTAGTCTCGGCTGCAGGGCAGAATTGGGCAGATTCCCCCTTCTAGCAGAAATCCAGAAGAGAACAGCCAAGTTCCGGTTCCATCTATCAGACACACTGACAGATGATTACATCACTGCGCTCTTACTTACAGGGCAGGACACCCAGAGAGTGACCCCATGCACTATTTAGTGGAAAAACACCAACTCAGTTCAACAATTCAGTTAAGACAGGCAAAAGTTAAAGAAATCGGAAAAATAACCCAGGAAAAATACATCCATGATTGGCAGATCAAAGTAGCACAAATGAACAAATTAAAGTACTTCTACAGATTAAAGACTGGTTATCAATTGACACCTTTACTTCATCAAAATTAAAGACTATGGTCAGAGAAAGCTTCTGACGAAGTATCGACTGAGTGAGCACAGTCTGTGTCTGGAGACGGGCCGACACAAACAGAGCTGGAGAGCCAGAGAGCTCCGACTGTGTTCTCACTCATAGAGGACGAGCTGCACTTCCTCACACACTGCAACAAATATAAACACATTAGAGACACTTATTTTACCCAAATAGCTCAAATTGTGCCTGAATTCCAGCAAGCGAGCCACATTGACAAACTCTGTTATATTCTGGGAGAGAAAGAAAAGTGTATCCACCTAGTAGTGTATCCTGTATGTATCCTCCTGCCATATTATGAGGGACAAAGGCTAAACCACCTTTTCTTTATGTTTCTTTATGATCTATATGCCTGTATAACTTGTTCACTGTTTATTGCTTTGGCAACATTGTGCTGTTCCACAGTCATGCCAATAAAGCAAAAAAAAATTGAATTGAATTTAATTGAGAGAGAGAGAGAGAATCAATGAACCTGCGAACCGTGACAGTACCTCTTCCCCTAGGAGCGCCTCCTGGCGCTCCCAGGAAGATTGATCCATAGATTGTAATCATCAATAAGGGAGTGATCCAGTATGTCCCTAGCCGGGACCCAACTTCTCTCCTCCGGACCGTAACCCTCCCAATCCACCAGGTACTGGAACCCGCGTCCCCTTCGTCTCGAGTCCAGAATACGTTTAACCGAATAGACGGGCTCCCCGTCTACGAGACGCGGGGGGGACCAGAGCAGGCTGATTAATGGCAGAATGAAAAACAGGTTTTAATTTGGATACATGAAAAACGGGATGGACTCTCCTGTATGCAGGAGGAAGTTTAAGGTGGACAGCCATTGGGCTAAGGATCTTGGTGACTGTGAACGGGCCGATGAATTTAGGAGCTAATTTATTAGACATGGAGCGAAGGGGAATATTCTTGGATGAAAGCCACACTTTTTGACCGACGACATACACGGGAGGCTTAGACCGGTGGCGATCGGCTTGGGCCTTGGTGCGTGCTCTTACCCGGAGGACAGTCCGTCGGGCTCTCCTCCAGGTGCGATGACACCTCTGGATGAAGGCGTGGGCGGAGGGGGCGACTTCGGGCTCCAGACTTGGAAAAATAGGTGGTTGGTACCCTAAACCAGTGTTTCCCAACCGGGGTGCCGTCTGTCGAGAGCAGGGGTGCCGTGTCAAAAATATATTTTTTATAT